CAATAATGATGCTAAACATATGCATTGTTCACTTAAAGGAGTGCCGTTATTTAAGCATCATGGATTCTGAGTTCTTGTTGAAGCCTTAGAATACTCTTAGCTGATAAGAATTGAAATCTGTTTATCAATAATTATGTAACCCAAGAAGCTTTGTTCTTCTCGTTTTTGTGCATCTCTTGACTAATGGTGAAGTTCTTTTAAGCTCTTACAAAATTGTGTTGTGATGGTCTGCGTTTCAGATCCTAGACTGCGTATTAGGACATCATGAAGTACTATTTAGACGAGCTCAGTTAAAAGCTCTTGTTTCTATCCATAGTCAAGAGGTCGGTGTTGTATCCTTAATTTTTAGTACTGATAAGACTGTAGAGCCAGTAGTTTATTACTTCTAATTCCTTTAGCTTCTTTTAATGGGAAAGTTCTGCAGGCTGGCAAGGGAGGTGAACTTACACATGATGAAACAACAATCATAAGTGGAGCATTAGATTTAACTGAGAAGGTACGGACACTGAAGCAGTCTTATCATTGCCATGCTTCTCCAGACCCCAGGTTTATCAATTATAATGCTTAGGTTTTTAAACATTCGTTGTTCCTTGTTGAATTCTTTGTAGATGTGAAAATTGACCAGATCATGAGAAGATAAGTTTTTTTTGTCATTTAGAATTGTTTGCCTGAATTATCAGTATCCTGAAATTCTTGGTTCAAGGCAGATCTATCTATTGTACTTACTCTTGGCCCTTTTTTTTGTGGGATAAGTTGACTCGATAAGAACTAATTGACTCTTTTCTCCTTATCTTTTTCTTTTTTGAATTTGATAAACTTGAGATGTTAGAGTGATGACTGTGCTCTCTTTTGTTTGGCTTTTGGGATGTTGATAGACTGCTGAGGAGGCCATGACACCCATTGAGTCGACGTTTTCTTTGGATGTCAATTCAAAGCTGGACTGGTGAGTGTGGTACCATTATTCTTCCAAGCTTTTGTATTATTCAAACCCAGTCTTCTGTTCTTCAAGTCCTGCAAAGCTTCTTTGATCCTGAAGTCATTAGTTCCGAGGCATGATTCTGTTATCAAATATCTGCACACCATCTTTACTTAACTTACAGTATTGGACTAACAAGTGTTTTAACTGCTTTATTTCTTTTCTAATGTGACTGCAACTTATGATGATCTAGCGATTGATCAGTACTAACTTTGACCTATCAATGAAAAAGTTATGTTATTTTTTTGCTAGGTTGCCAAAGTTCAGCTGACAGCTAATTTCTTGTAAAAAGACTTTTATTAGTTCTATAGCTGTAGGTAAATTATATTTCAGCTGGCACAACTATTCTGTCGGAGTCCTGCATGAAATTTTTGAACAGTAACATAATCACGTTTGAATCAGGTTGGTGATATGGCTCAAATTGAATGGTGACAGCCCACAGGCATTGTGATGTTATGGTTAATATGTATTGCACCATATTTAACAAGGCTAACTTTTCCTCTTCATGTTTTCCCTGACTTTCCCGTTCCTTTGGATGGGGCTGCAAGAAATTTGAATTAAAGGCTAGCTCTTTCCAATTGAACCTTAGGCGTGACCTATGGTCTATGACTACCATTTTTTAATTCTCTTTCCAACAAAAAAGAGGAAAAAAAGAGAGAAAATAACTCTTTCAAATAAGCTGTACAGAACTTATACAGTACAAATATTTGTGCCGTCATTTATTATTCGTGAGATTCCTGGCAAGGCTTACCTCACTATACATGAATAATTGATTAGTATAATTAGTTCTAATTTCTTTTGCTTCTCAATTTCTCTATGGACCATGCATGTAAACTGAAAGAAGCTCTATTTCTTGGATATTAACCTTGGAAATATTCTCCAGATGAATTTAGTTGTTGACTAACTGATCTTCTGTGCCCCTATTATAGGGAGGCAATGGGTAAAATTATTGCTCGGGGTCATAGCCGAGTTCCAGTCTACTCAGGTAGTCCAAAGAATATTATTGGACTTCTACTGGTGAGTTTTGGATCTCACCTTCAGAGCACTTGTAATCTTGCTACTCCGGTGAAATTGTGATAGTTTCAATTTGATTTTAGGTAAAAAGTCTTCTTACCGTGCGTCCGGAAACTGAGACACCAGTGAGTGCTGTTTCTATCCGCAGAATTCCACGGTATTAACTTTTTACTACTCTACTTCCTTCCTTCTATGCATGTGTCGATCAGTAAGCTCTAAATCTTGTTTTCCATGAAACTTTTAAGAGTTCCAGCTGATATGCCACTATATGATATACTAAATGAGTTCCAAAAGGGTAGCAGTCATATGGCTGCAGTAGTGAAGCTTAAAGGGAAAAACCAAAAACCTCCCTTGGTACTTGAGGAAGAGAAATCTGATGATAGTACAGTTGATGGTGGAAATCCTCATGTAACTACCCATCATTTGATGACAAAGGGTGAAAAGACAGAGTGTGTCGTTGTTGACATTGAGAAGGCTACAGTACCGGCAGTAACGCCTCCAACATCTGCTGATGCAGTGACAAATGGAGTTCCTGAGTCGTCAGATGATATTGAGGATGCTGAAGTAATAGGTATTATTACTTTGGAAGATGTTTTTGAAGAACTTTTACAGGTGATCTTTGGGGGTTCTTCTAGTTTATTGTTACCTCTTTTACACATCTGACTATAACAGATGGAAATTACTATCATTGGTGCAGGAGGAAATAGTAGATGAAACTGATGAGTATGTTGATGTACATAAGAGGTGGGTGAGAGCTGGACAACTTAATTTCACCCACTCAATATAGTAACTATTGTTGAAGAGCAGATTGTAACTTCAAATATTTACAGGATATGTGTGGCTGCGGCAGCAGCAGCTTCATCAGTGGCACGAGCTCCATCAATCCGGAGGTTAACAGCCCAAAAGGGAACAGTAAGTGCACATTGTGTACACAATTTATAGTTTTATACTGTATTCATTGATATATAATGAAATATTTTTGAAATGTCAATATAATAATTTCTATACACATAGTTGCAAGAAAATAGATCTGTTGTGTGGCATCATCTGATAGTTAACGGTATACTTAGTGATTTCAAGTGCCTAGTTAGATTAGATCATTACATTGTGATTGTACTAAAATGGTGATGGGAGAGGAGAGTTTTTTTTTTTTTTTTTGCTGCATTAATGAATTGAGTTTTCTGTTTCGTCGTTCACTAAAAGCTGCTACAGAACAAATTACTGATGTTTCTAATTGGACTCCACAGGGAGTGCAAAGCAAGGAAGGAGAAAACCCGAAGAAGTCAGGCGAGGATACTTCCATCTCAAGGAGAATTCAAGGGAATCTCGGAGAGCCTCTTCTTGGGAAGAAGAGATAAAGAGTTGGTAGTTTGGTAATCTCAGAGTCTCAGTGATGTTGAGAGTGAAAATAACAAGTCTTACTGCAACCTGATGTATAGTTTTGTTAGTGCATATACAACATATTCTTCTGTGTAAAACTTTTGACCTCTTGTTGTTAGAGAATCATAAAGTTGATACATTTCCTTGTACCTAGAGATTTAGATATCTAGTTATCTTAGTTACCCTTCTCTTTACTTGTATTCATATCATTGTAATTCTCCTAAAATACCCTGTTCAGTAACGTAGATTCATTCTTACTTGGACTCCTGGTACACGCTTAGTTGGACCTGGGAACGAAGGGGTGTCAGAGAAGGTTAGAGTCCTACATTAATTGGGGAATGAAGTGAGTGTCTATTCTGTTTACATGAACTTGAGCAATCCTCCAAGCTAGATAACTTTCGGGGTTGAGTTAAGTTCGAGTTCCATATCTTGATATAATGTCTCCCACGGTGCTTTCTAGCTCTAATGGAGAGAACTAAAATATTTTAGAGAATTTAGTGAATATGGAGAAAGACCCCAAAACATTACTTTACTATGGTACTATAAATCATCAGAATAGTAATGAATCATTTTCAATCATAACATTTTGGTAGAATAAAATATAGATCAGAGTTGGATATATTGTTTAGTGATTTAAGGTATTATTTCAAACACCAATTGACAGATGAGAGAGAATCAGAACAGTGAATCTGGTATTGCTCAATGTGTTTGATAATTAAGTTCAATAATGACTTAATTATACCCTGTGTTTATGCAGTGCTTTTGAAATATTGTCTGATTTTTGGATGCTTTTGAAATCTTTAACTTCTTTTTTTTTTTTTTCAAGAAGGAAAAAATTCAGTGAACAGTTTTGAATTTCAGGAATTTTCAACAGGAAAAATTACTCTGTTTGTCCCATATTAGCTGATCATTTTCCTTTTTACACGCATATTAAGAAATTATACTAAAAAAATAATTTTACTGAATTCGCGCTTTAAAGAACTTCTTGGGAATTTTACAAACAAATATGACCACTTTCAAAAACAATTAATTGTATGGGTAATATAGGAAATAACTAATTAATACTTTCTTGATATAGTAAAATAAACAACTAATGTGAGACAACTACTTTTAGAAAAATAATCAAGTAATATGGGCGGAGGAAGTAGCAAATATTTCTGAATTTCAAAATCACAAAGAGTTTGATGCCTCTTATGCTAGAAAAACTGAAATACAAGATGTTTTTTTTTTGTCCCAGATAGCTTTAATGATTTCATTTTTACTTGTCACTGTTTTGACAAATCCATTAAGAAATTAATTATTAATATAAATATTTTACAATATTATTCCTATTAAATGATGTTTAGTATTAGGTCTTAGAAAATGATTTAGAGAATAAATATTTAATGCTAAGGCTAAAATATGAAAATAAGTAATTGATTTTTTTTTGGTATATTAAAAGTAACAAGTAAAAACGAAAATCTATTTATAGAAATAAGTTATAAGTAAAAATGAGAAGAAAGTATTTTCGAGCAATAAAATTTAGCCCTTTTTTCACGAGTTTCGAAACGGCTATTTTTGTAATACTTCTGAAATTCCGCTATTTTCCAAAAATAGTGTGCAAAAATAGACTAGATCTGAAAATTACGTGCAGTAAAGAGCTGTAGACCCACAAGAACGCTATCAATTTTCTCAATTTTCCTTTCTATATATCCAATTTTGGTTCTGTATTCCTCTTACTTCTCTACCGAAATTCAACCAAACGAACCAATTCACCGAATATCTTCGCAGTTTCAATATAATCTCAATATGCACATACAACTATCACTGAAACACATATTCATATCAGTATTTTATCACCATTCGCTCGATTTTAGGTAAATCAATATGCTTTTGTTGCTGTTATTTTAAGAAAAAAAATATTTTTTCCAATTTTTCTATGGTTTTATTGGAAAATTTTGCTATATGTGTGTATAATTATGTATGTTTATTTAATGTATGATCATGTGTTTTTGTGATATGTTGAACTCAATCGTTGGAATGGAGGTTTATTGATTGAGTTGATAAATTGGTCTGTTACAATTGGGGAATTTATTTTGTAATTTGCTACTTAACTACTTTGTTTGGTGTAATTATTGGTGTAAAATTGGCTAGTCTTCTGATGAACAGTTGTTGGATATATTTTTTTGTTAATTAGGAATCAGGAATTTGGAGGTTTGTTCTTGTTTGAATTGTTCTTGGATAGTACATAAGTTGAAACTACAAGTAGAATTCAATGGGGAGAAAGAAGCCTGTGCGTGAAAACGAGAGTCTTGAATCTTCCAAGCAGGGTGGCGGTGGTGGAGGAAAGTCGAAGAAGAAAAATCGGGTGATAGATGATGATGATTACTCTGTTGGGACAGAACTGTCTGAAGATACAGTGGTTCTGGAAGACAAAGCTGAGTTAGTGCCAGAGATTAGTAAGAAGAGAGGTAAGAAGGGTAAGAAGTCCGGGGCTCGAGATGAGGACGTTGAAGAAACAGAGGACAAACTTGTTAGGAAAGAGGAGGATGATGAGAAAAAGAAGTTGGGAGGCGGTGAAAAGAATCTTGCCAAGCAGGTTGGTGGAGGAGGGAAGTCAAAGAAGAAGAATGTGGCCATTGACGATGATGAGTACTCTATCGGGACTGAAATATCTGCTGAGACGCAGGAGGAGGAATTAGCACCAGCAGTGGCGTTTGGCAAGAAAAAAAGTAAAAAGGGTAAGAAGGGTGGGGTGAGTACGTCTGATTATGGAAGTCTTGGACAGGATGATGACGATGAAGATGTGTCAGGTTTGTCAAGGGATAGGGATGGAGTGGTTGGTGATAGTGACCGAGAGGCTGAAAGTGTTGCATCCGTTACTGGAAAAACGAAGAACTTAAGACTGGGGAAGAGCAGTGCAAGTTTGTCTGTTACATCTGCGTTTCACGCCATTGATGATCAGGATAACGAAACTGGGCAGCTATCTGAGGAAGATGAAGAGTCCACAGTTGCCTTTACAGGTAGGAGTAGTGGCATTTCTTTTAGTGCTGCCCTTCTTGACGAAGAAAATGATGCAGATACCTCTCTTAAATTGGAGACAGAGGCAAATGAAGAAGATGATGCACCAGGAATTATTTTTTCAGGTAAAAAGAAGTCATCTAAGAAAAAGAACAAAAGTGCATCTAGCACAATAGACACTGCATTCAGAAATGACTCAACCAATGTTGTTGATCAAGACCATTGTAACCTAGGGGTTAATCGGGAAGATGCTGATGATAATAGAGGCAAAAAGCAGACAACAGATGTGTTAGAAACTTCAAAGAACAAAACCAAGAAAAAAAAGAGTGGGCATGCTTCAAAGATTCTGGCAGATCTTGGTGAAGGGTCAACAATCACTACTCCTGCTCAACCTGCTAATGCTTCTCTTCCACAAGAGGAGAAAAGTCAACAGCAGTCTCAATTAGGAGATGATACAGGGGAAAGAGAAGCAGTTGAGGAAGCTGTGAAGTCTGCTGCTGCAAAGAAGAAGAAAAAGAAGGAGAAGGAGAAAGAGAAAAAGGCGGCAGTAGCTGTCTCTGAGATGGAGGAAAAACAGGAAGGAACAAAGAATGATACCAGAGCAAAATTGGCAGATAAAAAGCAGTCGAAGCAGGTTAGGGAGATGCAAGAGAGACTTAAAAAAATGAAGGAAGTTGAAGAAAGCAAGAAGAAGGAAGAAGAGGAAAGATTAAGAAAGGAAGAAGAAGAACACCTTCGACTGGAAGAACTAGAAAGACTTGCAGAGGAGAAAAAACACTTGAAAAAAGAGAGGGAGAAGGAAAAGCTCTTGAAGAAGAAACTAGAAGGGAAATTGCTTACTGGAAAGCAAAAGGAAGAAGCTCGAAGATTAGAAGCAATGAGAAAGCAATTTCTTGCTAGTGGTGGGGCTTTGCCACTTTCAACTGGAGAGAGTAGAAAAGATGCAACTAAACGACCTATTTACCAATCAAAGAAATCAAAGTCACAAGCTTGGGCTAATGGCAAAGTCCAGGAAGAATCTGTTGAAAGCACAGAAGTGCAAGAAAATCAGCAGGAAATTGTCTCTGAGGTTGATTCCATGAAAACTGAGAAGGCTGAGGATATCGATTTGGTAAGTGTAGAGGAGAAGTCAGAAGTAGCTGATGCTGAAGAAAACAGAGTTGAAGAAGAGGAAGATGAGGAGGAGTGGGATGCGAGAAGTTGGGATGATGCCGATCTTAAATTGCCAAGAAAGAGTGCATTTGAAGATGAAGAGCTAGATTCAGATCCCCAACCTATCATTACGAAAGCTGCAAGGTCCGTTGTGAGTGATACAGGGCCACTGCCTGTTGCTGCCAAGTCTGTAATTCCTACTCAAAAAGCGGTTGCAAGTGTACCAGATGTCACTAAGAATGATGGAAGTAAGAAGAGGGAGCCTGTGGTTGTGGTTTCAGGGAAAGGAACAGAAAAACCTGGTGCTTCTTCAAGCAAGAGTGAAGACAACCTCCGGTCTCCTATTTGCTGTATCATGGGGCATGTCGATACTGGTAAAACCAAGCTTCTTGACTGCATACGAGGCACTAATGTTCAAGAAGGTGAAGCTGGAGGGATTACACAGCAGATAGGTGCAACTTATTTTCCAGCTGAGAATATAAGGGAGAGAACTAAGGAACTAAAAGCTGATGCCAAGCTGAAGGTGCCTGGATTGTTGGTCATTGACACACCTGGACATGAATCATTCACTAATTTGCGTTCTCGGGGTTCAAGTTTATGTGATATTGCAATTTTAGTTGTGGACATTATGCATGGGTTAGAACCGCAGACTATCGAGTCACTTAATCTTCTAAAGATGAGGAATACGGAATTTATTGTTGCTTTGAACAAGGTGAGATTTATTAGGGTTTGATATTTTATTTTGATCTTTGATTATATTCGTTTCTTTATAGTTCTTATTTTGTTTTACCTGATGCAGATAGATAGGCTTTATGGATGGAAAGTGTGCCGCAATGCACCTATTGTGAAGGCAATGAAGCAACAGTCCAAAGATGTTCAGTTTGAATTTATTACCAGGCTTACTCAGGTCACTTATAACCTCTGATGTCTCAATTTAGCGTTTCCTCTCTTTGTGCATCCTCATATCATCAATCGTTTATTCATTTGTTGCAGATCGTGACCCAGTTCAAGGAGCAGGGTATAAATACAGAATTATACTATAGAAACAAAGAAATGGGGAAGGATACTTTTAGCATTATACCAACTAGTGCAATCAGGTGTGTGTGTATTCTTTCTGCGATTTTTCTTTTGCTGGGTTATGCTCTACTGCAGTTATTTTAGCTAAGCGTTACTGTGTACTCTGACAGCGGTGAAGGTATTCCTGATTTATTGCTATTACTGGTCCAATGGACTCAAAAGACAATGGTTGAGAGACTTACCTACAGCAGTGAAGTCCAAGTATGATTTCACATACCATAGTCACTTTACTTACATGTAGACGGGGAATATGTTATGATTAACTGTTGTTACTCTCTGGCAGTGTACTGTGTTGGAGGTTAAGGCTATTGAAGGTCATGGGACAACCATTGATGTGGTATTGATCAATGGTATGCTCCATGAAGGTGACCAAATAATAGTTTGTGGCATGCAGGCAAGCTTTTATTATTCTTATGGTGTGGTAAGGTTCCTAGGGTAATGTGAATGTCTGATGTTCAACTTTTTCTTTCTCTATCCTGTTTTGTGTGTAGGACCCTATTGTCACCTCAATCCGTGCGTTATTGACGCCTCACCCAATGAAGGAACTTCGAATAAAGGTACGAAACTATGTGTTCTTGATGCATTCTCATTTGATTACCTTGCGAGTAAAGATACTCTTTACCGGAGTTCAACTCGTTATATAATGCAATCAATAGATGATTAAGCAGTTTGTCATGTTTTAACTATTAAAAGAAAGGGGAGAAAAAAATGGATGGTGGCAGTTGGGAGACGGGGGTTTTAAAAAATATTGGGATCTGTTTTTTTTGATGGAGACAGTCAGGTCCTTCCCTTTTCTAAGCAACGTGATTTTTTTATTTGTTTTGCTTGACCTATGTGTTCCGTCCACATAGTAATGGTGGTGGGAGTTTTGTGCTTTAATTGTGGAAATTGGTTTGAAGATGTTTAAAACTATAGATTGTGTTCCGTCCATATAGTTAATGGTGGTGGGAATTTTGTGCTTTAATTGTGAAAATTGGTTTGAAGATGTTTAAAACTATAGATATTTCCATCACGGCTTGTCTCTTTGTTTGGTATACCTGATATAGAGTTCATGCTAGTAATATCTTGACTTTGTATCTCAAGATCTTCTTGGTGCCAAACTAATTATGACCCTCTATTGCTAAATATGGCAAATGAAAAGTAGAAAGTTGACTTGCAGATGGTTTAGCTCAAGTAAGAGATATGGCTGTCTGGCATGTTGACTTCATAGTCGCTGTTTTAACTTTTAATCATTAAAAAAGTTCAACGAGTCTTGTTTTTTCTCTACTTGTATCTTTTTTCTCTGCTCCCCAAGTGGTGGTAGGGATTGCGAAGTACTGGTTATCGATCTGTTGATTTTGAGTTGTAGAAATGTGTTCATACATCTGGATGCTTTCATGGGTTTGGTTGTTTGAGCTAAAGTGCCTCAAAATTGCTGCCATATTTGCAGAACTTGGAGTTGCCGCTTTAAAGTTTCTCATAAAAAAAGGGTAGACAAAAGCTTCCCTACGGTGTCAGATTTATTTCCCCAACTCCAACTGCCCCTGTTACCCTTCTTTGTCCTCAATTGTCAGATCCACTTATTCTGTTTGAACTTTCAGAATTGCTATTTTTCAGCACTTATGACTTTGTAGTGCACAGAACATAAAAAATTCTAAAGAATGAAGTTATTCGCATGATGTTTAATTTTCATATGAAGTGATGAATGATTTTATTTTCTGGTAATATCTTTATTCAGGGATCATATGTGCATCATAAAGAAATCAAGGCTGCACAGGGGATAAAGATTAATGCTCAGGTAACGTCTGTGTGTTCTTCATTTCTTTCTGTTTTATGGTATGCACATTTTTGTCACGCTTAGACCCTTGAAAGGTTTTTTTTTTTGGGGGGGGGGGTGGTTGAAAACTGGTCCAGGGGCATGCACGTTGACTGATTTGCTGCATTAAATGATGTCTGTGATTTTGGAACTGAATATGCACTGTTTACTCGCTCATCATTACTTCTGCCTTCAATTTGAGAGATCCACTTTCCTTAACATCCAACTCATCTTCAATGACTGTGACGAGTACATTGAATTATTTGTGCGACATTTCCATTCAATTCATCCTTAGGAAGAAAGCATTTCTTGATTGTCTATTGTAGTCCACACAGCTTATCTTGGAGTTCTTTTGTCCATAATCTCGTCATGGACACCGAGGTTCCCCAATATGATTTTTTACTTGAGTTTGAGGGCACTTTGGATCCAATCAGGGAGGTAAGGGGATTGTTCTGGATATTTGTCACAATCTTACATTCTTGCTTACTTTTGAAGCAACTTTACAGGGATTCGTAGCATGCTTTGTAAATTGCACTAAATTGGTAGGTGGATCATGGATGGAGCCTCTTTCCTTTCTGTTGGGTTTCTTTTTTCCATGAAAAAGTTATCCTGGTTAGGGCAGAGATTGCCTTTATTTTTCGTTATTGTCCTGGATGTTCATTTTTTCTATGTTGGATTTTTTGAAATATGTCTGATAAATTATTATCAGAGTGTACTTGAAATGATGATATACTAATTTCCTGACAGTTTTCTTGTGTCTGATTTGTTAGTCAGGTGAAATTTGACATTGAAGACCAACTAGTGCCACTAATAGGAATTCTTGTTGCTTTTGTTTTTCCGCCTTCTTGTTGTGTTTTGATAAGTTCTTGTCTTGATGCATGATGCCATCATTTTCCACCATGGTACTTTGTTATTGCTGTACATTATCCTAGAAGTTGCGTGGTGAAGGAATAACCCCCTTCTGCCCCTTGGTTGTTTTATTTTGTACAGGGGCTTGAGCATGCAATTGCTGGCACTAGTTTATATGTTGTGGGGCCTGATGATGATGTGGAGAACATCAAAGAAGCAGCTATGGAAGATATGAGGTCGGTGATGAGCAGGATTGATAGAAGTGGGGAGGGAGTTTATGTTCAAGCTTCTACGCTTGGATCATTGGAAGCTTTGCTGGAGTTCTTGAAGACTGACGAAGTAAGAATACCTGTCAGTGGAATTGGCATAGGCCCTGTGCACAAAAAAGATGTCATGAAAGCTAGTGTCATGCTTGAGAAGAAGATAGAGTATGCAACAATCTTGGCCTTTGACGTGAAAGTGACACAAGAAGCTCGAGAACTTGCAGATGAGGCTGGTGTCAAAATTTTTATTGCTGATATTATTTATCACCTATTCGATCAGTTTAAGGCCTATATTGATAATCTCAAGGAAGAAAAAAAGAAGGAAGTTGCTGAAGAAGCAGTCTTCCCCTGTTCTCTCAAGATTGTACCTAATCATGTGTACAACAAGAAGGATCCAATTGTCGTAGGAGTTGATGTTCTTGAGGGCATTGCCAGGGTATTAACTATTGCTTCTTTATGTCATGATTCATGGAATCTGTTCACCAAACACACACAAAAAAACACATTCTCTGAAATTGCATTTGGGAAAATTACCTTTTCTATTAAATGTGGTAATTATGTGAATATAATCTATTCTTATTGTTATGGTGTTCTCTTTCAAAATGTTTTGAGCACATCCTAATGGTCCTTTTATACCTTGATTTTATATGTCAAAACCCATGGTTCACTTTATTTTGGCTAAGAGAACTTTAATTTTGAGGGGACTGCCAGATTTTCTTCTATGTTGCTAGTGCTTTTGAATACTGGTGCTAATGTTGCCATTTTCTTAATTCCCTCTCTCCCCCTCCACCCCTTTTAATAGTATGCAATACTGTTCTCCCACACACATCTGTATTTCATTTCTTTGTTGCCGGTAGTAGTGCTCTTTGATCAATCTTCATTTGTAGATGCTTCTTAATGTTCTAGTCCATGTTGTGATAAGCTTAATTTGAATAGGTCGGGACTCCAATATGTATTCCACAGAGGGAATTCATTGATATTGGTCGGATTGCGTCCATCGAGAACAACCATAGGCCTGTTGACTCTGCCAAGAAAGGTCAGAGGGTGTCCATTAAGGTATGAAGCTGGTTGATGATATCTATCTGCAATTTCATCTGTCATGACCCTTGTTTGTACAATGTGGTAATGTTTGAGATACTTGTAGTTTTGTTGGTTGCTAGCATCAGGAGTTCTAAGCAAATTGACTTGTATATTTTCTTCTATGCATATGACCACTCGCCTTGTCCCTTAAATTGCAGATAGTTGGGTCTAACTCTGAGGAGAAACAAAAGATGTTTGGCAGGCATTTTGAAATCGAAGATGAGCTTGTTAGCAAAGTTTCGAGAAGATCCATTGACATTCTCAAGGCCAATTTCCGGGTATGTAAAAAATAGGTTTATGGTTCACACCTCCCTTTCACACAGGCACCTTAGAACCTTGCTCCCCTTTCTTTGGGGCTAATGTTCAGATTTACTTGATGATTCTATGAAATTCTACAGAATGACTTGTCTATTGAAGATTGGAAGCTAGTTAAAACATTGAGGGACTTATTCAAGATACAGTGAGACTTTGTTACAAACCTTTCAAGTAGCTACTGCCTTGGCATTTTGTGGCCCTGCGTTGGTGCTCAACAGTTCATCGTGGCAAGAAACAGTGTTTTTGTTGGGACTCGTAATCATAAAGGATGGAAATGCTTAGAAAGGCTGTATGCATCGGTGGCAGTTGCAATTTCCTTCCTTCAGTTGGTTCTGTGTACAGCTCTTTTAGTAGTGAAGTGGTTAAAAGAGCAAAGCACTGAGAATTTTTATAGTGTTGGACTGTTGGCCAATCTCAGAGATGAGTGTGTTGTATAGGGGCGGCAAATATTACGTACAATTCTTTTTGTTGTGCTTCTGAGTATGTCAAAGAACTGCGAGTTAATGGCCTGCTATTGCTTTCTGAATAAATTTCTTTTAATATTCTCAGAATTGTATCACTAGTCCTATTATAAGTGTATCGCAGCACCCAGAAAAAGTGACTATGAAAACCATTAAATGGCCATTTTACTAGTTCAAATTACAAGCATTTCATAGTTAGCCACTTAACAGTACTTGGGCCGGAGATCCATCTATTGATTCATCCTAATTTGACCATTTGCCACCACTCCTAACCGATTTTTTCCATTACAAAAAGCACGTTTATAAGTTCCACCAAATTACAACATGATATCTGTTTTTAGGATTATTCAAAAAGATACAAAATCATTTAGGGATTAAAGCTTTTTCATTGTCGTAGAGAGTGGAATTCTTTTAATACGATTCCTAGCGATTTTCAAGATCACATATTTACCCTCACTGAGAGCAGAGAGATTTGGATGTGGAGGGTGCTTACCATCTGAGGGGAACCCCTCTTTATTAAAAATAATACAGATTTGTCTGCTTATAAATAAAGTCAAATCTCAACATTTATGAGCAGGATGATTGTTCAATTGCCAAACAATAATAATCACCAATGTTTTTTGTGTTACTCTGACTTAAAATGTGTATCCAAGTAAGATATGGCAACAGCAGCATGGAGGGCTGCTCCTATTGGAAGAACTTCTTCATCAATGGTGAAGTACGGGGAGTGCAAACCTTTAACAGAAGATGAGGTTGTTTTATTTTGTGTCCCAATGAAAAAGAATGCAGTTGCCATCCTCTGGGAATAGAACCCGAAGTCCTCTGCAGCCATCAAAGCTGGGGAATGCTGCACGTTATTATTGCCAAGCAAGATTTCTCCAACTCTTTTACTATGATCATAGATCTTGGGATCATTTATAGTTGGCGGATATGGTCTCATTTCCTCCATGAAACTGACAGTGGCAGAACACTGATGTACGCCTGCTTGAGTCTCGATGATCTGTTAGTAAGAAGCATTTCTGGTGTTACTCGTTGACAATAACGTTTAATTATAGCAAACAATACTAGAAAACTGGTATATGGTATGCAATGTGGAAAATTCTGATAAAGTAAAGCACTAGTTTTACATATATATGTTGACTCTTCTATTGCCTGATATTTCAGATGAACTTATCAAAGCTACAGTTAGAGACTTAGAGAGAAGCTCCAGAACTTGAGGAGGGACATAGTCCCTAGACAATTTTAACAGTACCTCTTTGATTCTCTGCTTAAGATAGGAATATCCTTCTAATGTCATGAACCGGAAGGTGCCACCAAACCTTACACTTTCGGGGATTACATTACCGGCTTGACCACCATCTACAAATGCAACAGTGAGCACCTGCATGTATTACAAATCAACAGAAATCTTTAGATCCTGCTACTTGAATTTAGGATTCTGAACAAAAAAGAAAATCATTTTTTAACTGTTTGGAAAAACGACAACTACCCTAGGCTCTAAAGGATCAGTTTCTCGAGAAACAAGTTGCTGGAGTGCAAGAACTGCCATAGAAACAGCCAATATTGGGTCCCTTGTGTTATGTGGTGTTGCTGCATGGCCGCCTTTCCCTCGCATTATTACAGTAAACCTGCTAGAGCCAGCCATAATAGGACCAGGTTTTGAACCAATAGTGCCAACGGGCATAAATGGCCAGACATGCAAGCCAAACATTGCTTGAAATCCATCTAAAGCTCCTTCTTCTAACATATACGAGGCACCAGCATATCCTTCTTCTGCAGGTTGGAAGACAAGCTTAATTGTGCCCTTCAGTTCAGAGTGAAGTATTACCCGAATCAGTTTATTGAGAATTTAAGATATCATGTTTAATTCATCAAAAATAATAATATTTCTCGTACCTTTAACTTGTCCCTTCTGTTCTGAATCAGTCTAGCTGCTCCAAGTAACATGGTAACATGAGCATCATGGCCACAAGCATGCATTTTTCCATCGATCTTGCTTTTGAACTCCCAATCTACCAATTCCTTCAAAGTCACACTTTGAATCAGCTAGTCTGCTCATTGTACAGGAACTCTTGTTTTTAGCACAGACAGTTGACGAAGCACTAATTCAGCAAATATGAAAATAAGAGCGACTTTTATGGTCAATTCTTTTTCCATTCTCCCACCAATGATGGTGGGGGTCATAGGAGAGAATAGTGTGACTTCGAGTTATGCTCACCAAACTATGACAGTTAAATTCAGAAACATATTCTCAACTCTCGAATTTGCAGTTCTTCGATCAACCTCTCATCTGAATCTATCTCTGGTTACCCGCTAGTGAAAGAAATCAATGATTTGATTGTAACCTAATATGTTACACTGATATGTCCTATTATCCTTGCACATAAGTATGAAATAATTGATATATAGTGTATTTGTGGTGGAATCTTCCAATGGAAGCTAAGTCAAGCATCATACAGATGTCCTAAAATTTCCTCAATTGCAGTTTTAACAAGACAAGATCCACAATGTCAACATCATAGCAGCTCAAGACTGGGGAATTGACTTCAAAATGAGGGAGGTGAGGACAACAATTCATATCAATAAGATAGTAAGTGAAGTCAAAACGATAAACTAATGGTAATTCAAGCAATAGAAGGTATACAGTATCAGACACATACTTGAAGTTTTTGGTCTCCACCACGAAGAATAAGTGTAACCTTCTTTAAGGAAGACCAGGTTTAACTTTTAGGGGTGGACTCGATCTGTTCTTCGAGTCATGTAGCACATAACATTTTCAAACAGTTTAACCTTAGAATTTTAAGTAGAGTTCGTAAATAGCTAGACATTCCAAATTCTAACTACAGAAAACTGAAAATCTCCCTCACGTACACCACAAAGGTAGAAGTAAGGTCTACATACATCCTACCCTCCGCAGAGCCCACATGTGAGATTATACTGGTATGTTGTTGTTGGATAGTGATTTGACAGCCAGAAATGCACAGTATGGTAATCATTTCATTGTTTTTGAGTTTCAACATAACTATAAGACTGACAGGTCAAAAACACATCTAAAAGTATCTCAATTTTTGAGTTTCATACTTGAACTTATCAGGGGTGTAAGTTTCCTATCACCAAATGTTTATCGAAACACACTTCAACTGTAAGTTGTTAGCTTTTCCTAGCATTACAAATAAGATTTACATAATAGTTGTCACCCCCAACCTAACAATAAGCCTAAGTTTTAGCTAATGGAGGCAAAAAGCAAGAATAAATTATGAAACAAATAAACCTGAATGGGGAGAGCATCCATGTCAGCTCTCAAACCAAACCAAGGTTGAGCACCAGACCCAATAGTTCCCACCACACCAGTTTTAGCCACTGGCCACAAATACTTGATCCCAAGTGAATCCAACTCATTTCGGATAAATTGACTCGTTTGGTATTCTTGAAAAGACAATTCCGGGTACTCATGGATTTTTCTTCTCGTCCTTCTCAACCAATCCAAGAACTCAGGTTGCCTCGCCGATTCCATAAGCTCCCGAGTTAGTAACTCAGTTTCAGATCCCAAATTAGTATCTACATCTACAGCCCATGAATTGTACGGAAAACTAGTGGATAGTAAAGCCAATATGAGTGTCAAGTTTATGCAAAACGAACCCATATCTGTAAACAAGAGAATGAAGTAATCAGGCTTATTGCTATTCTTCTCCTTCTTTTATGAGATTTTGGCTTCAAAACTTTCACTGAATTTTTACAATTTTTTTTAAAAAAAAGAACTTTAATTTTGATACTGTCGGACAGTATCTTTTTCTCTCAATGATTTTTTTTCATGGGATGTCGATTAAATTTAAATTTGTTTCAATATTTGTTTTGCTGCAGTTGTTGCGATTTTTTATTGTAGTTATGATTTTCAGTTAAAGATGTTTACAATTATTGTGATTTTCAGTTTTGTAGAACAAACCCAATCATGTTTTTGTGGTGGGATTCAATAATTTTTTTTAAAAGGAGTGATAATAAAAGCTGTTGTATTCTGATGGAACTTTAGCATGACATACTGTATTAAAAAAAAAAATCTTACCGGATCAAGTCTGATATAACAGGTCCCCACAACTTCAATAGTTATTGGATTTGCAATTGTTTGTATTCTAGATTCTTAATTTTTATTTTATTTCCCTTTGTTTATATTTCAAAGTTTGATGTAATTGTTGAGATGTCTGACCCGAAAAAAAAGAGAGTATTTGTTGAGATGTTTTGATTTCTAAATCTATATTTAAGATTATATGGTGTTTTGATAATTGGCAAATATTGTACCAGTGATAATTTATGTATAAGAAAAAATAAAGTATTATATTCAAGAATCAAGTCCTTAACAGATCTCTAGAAAAAAGTGAAGAAATTAGCAATAAAAATTTGAAGAAGATATTTCACATATGCACTAGAAAAAATCTTAGAGAACTGTAATAGACCTTAATTCAATTCTAGGATGAACCGGAGATCAAGACAAAGAAAAATTCTATAAATTATGCACATAGCTTGAAAATAAGAAGAAAGATGAAGCGAGATACTAAAAGAAAGAAGTAAATCAAGTTAAACTAGGATTGAATTTTTGAGAACTCTTAAATCAATTCTAAATTGAGTTGGAGAACTAAAAGACGACCACATACTTCTATAATCAATTTTTTTAATTGTTAATAGTGAAATATGCTCAACCACTTGAACAAGTCTGGTTTTATTTGAACTTGATTTTGAATTGACTATACTAAACTGGGCCTAAACCACACAAAATTACTTGGCTTGGGCCAATTTCTAAAATTTTGGGAAAATTAGCAATTAAGTCATAATATCTAACATAATAAGTCAAAATAACAACACTTTAAAATATTTATTTAAAATGGCATAATGACAATATTTTTATAAAATAATATGTATTCAGATTTTAGTATTTAAAATTATTTTTATTTATGGAAAGAGTCCTATATTGGACCAAATTATATATCAATAACTGTTTAAAGAAAAAAAAATTAAACCAATACACATTAACCTTTTTTCAACTCCATTCACGTTTCTTCCCCACTTTTCACGTTTCTTCCCCACCTTTCACGTTTCAAGTTTATCTTTCTTCAAGGTGCTAAATTGTTGTTCATCAAGAAATCTTCTTTATTGTTAAATGAAATCTATTTATTAATTCAAGCAGATTTCTCGATTGGCAAGGTAATTTCCATTATCCATTTTGATTTATTTTGATTTGA